CGGCGACTGGGACTGTCCACACCATGTCCGACCATGGCAGGGGACGCGGGCGGGCAGGTGAGCAGCAGCAGGGCTTCCTGCGGCCAGAAAGGGAAGACTGCTGATCCTGGGAAAGACCCCGTTGTGCTTGCAGAGCATAGAAAGTTCGAAAGTTAACTAAGGTTCTGAGGACGCTATTTATAAACGGCTTCCTGCTGAGAGACAGGCTTTCTGGGAAGGTTTATTTCGGGCCCATTGTAGCTGTCCACCTGTCTCCCGCATGCCTTCTGGCATTTATCCCCATCGGCTGGTGCAGAATGAAAGACACTCCTCCCTCGGAGGCACAGCCTGCCTGGGTAGCCTTTTCGTCCAAGCACCACGCAGAGGGTCAGGCCAGCACTGCAACCTGGGAGGAGAAAGAGGAAGTTTCTGGAACAGAATAGAAATAGGGCTTCTTATTGAAGAAGGGGAATGTTATTTTTGGTCTGGGTGTGAACTGCTTCCTTGTTTCTGTTGGAGTCAGCTTCTCTTCAAAGTGACCTTTCTAGTGTGGGAATTGTCGGGCTAGAGACCTGGGGATGGCTACAAACCACCCTACACCTGCGGCTTAAAACATCAGCCATTGTTTAATTTACTCATGAGCCTGCCATTTGGGCAGGGCTCAGCAGACCAGGGTCTCCCCTTGGGCAGCATCAGCTCAGGAGCTTGAAGGCTACTCAAGTGTGACTGGCTGGCATGCTCTCAAGGCTTCGCTCACTCACATGTCTGCCGGCTGCTGCCCGCTTGATGCCAGCATTGGCTGGGACCTCAGTGAGGGCTGTTGGTCAAACACCTGACATGGCCTCGTGTGGCTTCTCAACATGGTCACTTGGCTCCCTCAAAGCATGGTAACTGGGAGAGACCTGACCCGGGGGACTGGGCAGAATTTGTATTGCATTTTCTTACTTAACCTTGCAAGTCACTTACCATCACTTGCACCCTTGTCACGGGCCCGCCTTGATGTACAGGGAAGGGATGTAGGTCCCTCCCTGCAGGAGGAGGAATGTCGGCATGACTCTGTAAGGCGGGGGACCTTGTGGCTGCCTGGAAAATAACCCTTTGCCGCAGAGAGGAGCTGGTGGAGGAGTGGAGGAGTGGAGGTATGGCCTGCTGTTGGAGAATTAAGGGGATGCAGAGCTATTTTTTTTTCACTTTAAAAATACAACTTTCAAAAACTGGAATACACACATACCACATTTTATTGCGCTTTTCTTTGTTGTGCTTTGCAGATACTGCATTTTTTACAGATTGAAGGTTTGTGGCAACCCCTGCATGGAGCAAGTCTACTGGCACCATTTTTCCACCAGCATTTGCTCACTTCCTGTCTCTGCATCACATTTTGGTAATTCTCGTAATATTCTGAACTTTTTCATTATCATTATTATTCTATCCCTTATGGTGACCCGTGATCAGTAATTTTTGATGGTACTGCTGTAAATGTTTTGGGGTGTCACAAGCCATGCCCAGACAAGATGGTGAACTTAATTGAAAAATGGTGCGTGTGTTCTGGCTGCTCCATTGAATGGCCGTTCCCTGTCTCGCTCCCTCTCCTCAGTCCTCCCTATTCCCTGAGACCCAACAATTTTGAAATCAGGCCAATTAATAACCCTCCAGTGGCCTCGAAGTGTTCAAGTGAAAGGAGAAGTTGCACATCTCTCACTTTAAATGGAAAGCTAGAAATGATTGAGCTTAGGAAGGCATGTTGAAAGCCAAGACAGGCTGAAAGCAAGGCCTCTTGCACCAGTTAGCCGCGTTGTGAAGGCAAAGGAAAAGTTTCTGAAGGAAATGAAAAGTGCTACTCCAGTGAACACACACGATAAGAAAGCAAACGAGCCTTACTGCTGATGTGGAGAAAGTTGTAGTGGTCTGGATAGAAGATCAAGCCAGCCACAACATCCCTTAAGCTAAAGCCTGTTCCAGAGCAAGGCCCTAACTCTTCAGTTCTGTAAAGACTGAGAGAGGTGAAGAAGCTGTAGACAACAAGTCTGAAACCAGCAGGGGTTGATTCATGACGTTGGAGGAAAGAAGGCATCTCCGTACCATCACAGTTCAAGGTGAAACAGCAAGTGCTGATGTGGAAACTGCGGCAAGTTATCCATTCAGAGATCTAGCTAAGAGCATTAATGAAGGTGGCTACACTGAACAGCAGATTTTCCATGTAGATGAAACAACCTTCCATTGGAAGACGTCATCTAGGACTTTCATAGTTAGAGAGAAGGCAGTGCCTGGCTTCAAAGCTTCAAAGGACAGCCTGCCTCTCTTGTTAGGGGCTAGGGCAGCTGGTACGTTTAAGTTGAAGCCGATTCTCATTTCCTATTCTGAAAACCCTAGGGCCCTCGAGAATGATGCTAAAGCTAATCTGCCTGTGCTCTATCAATGGAACAACAAAGCCTGGATGACAGCACATTTGTTTACAACATGGTTTGTTGACTATTTTAAGCCCACTGTTAAGACCAACTTCTCAGGAAGAAAGATTTCAAAATGTGCTCGTTGACAATGTGCCTGGTCACCCAAGAGCTCTGATGGAGATATGCAACAAGGTAAGTGTTGTTTCATGTTTTCATTTTCATGCTAACACAACGTCCATTCTGCAGCCAGGGATTGAGGTGTAATTTTCAATTTCAAGTCTTATTATTTAAGAAACACATTTCATAAGGCTATGGCTGCCATTGATAGTGATTCCTCTGATGAATCTGGGCAAAGTCAATTGAAAATCTTTTGGAAAGGATTCACCATTCTAGATGCTGTTAAGAACATTCATGATTCATGAGGTCAAAATATCAGCGTTCACAGGAGTTTGGAAGAAGTTGATTACAGCGCTTGTGGAAGACTTTGAGGGAGTCAAGATTTCAGTGGAGGAAGGAGATGCAGATGCAAGAGGACTGGAATTAGAAGTGGAGCCTGAAGGTGTGACTGAACTCCTGCAATCTCATGATGAACCTTAAACAGATGAGTTACTGTCTACGGATGAGCCAAGAAAGTGGTTTCTTGAGATGGGATCTACGCCTGGTGAAGATTGTTGAAATGACGACGAAGGCCTGGTTTAGTGTGGCCCCAGCAGCTGGGCTGACAAGCCCGTTGTTGAAGAAGGCTCTTGGAAGCATATCACAGTGTTCATCACAGCACCTCACTTAAACCCTTTCATTTCTCCTCTCCCTTATTTTCAGTCTTTTGACTGAAGAGTAGTCCAGTAAAGCTTTGTGCTAGAGCTTCTTGTTGAAGACCCCTGGTATGCCGCAGTTTCAATACTGAGTCCCAGAGGCACTGAGAACACACTGAGGGTTGAAGAGGAACAGTTTTGCGTGAGATGCAGGAAGGCGGGGTGATGCAGCCTAAATGAAATGAGCCTAGCAAGGATGTGACAAACCCAAAGCTTTCATCTCAGGTTACAGCGCTTCTCTTCTGATAATTTGTTTTGGCTCCTTTCTGGATCAAACAATGGATTCTAGAGAGAACTGTGCATGTGATAACCAGGCTGTGGAAGGATCCCATGACTACAAGGAACAGTCCTTAGAAAAGTATCTGTAGAGATCAAACAAGATGAGGTCATCAGTTTGCTTTTCCTTTTATTATAAAAGTAAAATAAAAAATAGCATTTATAAATTCAACATTTTTTTCCTTTAAAGTATTTGATCTAAAAAACATATTTACAATAGCAAAATGCAGAGAAAGGGGAGAATACCACTTTCAGCACTGATTGTAACCATGTTTAAATATTGACATGTACATATTTTCTCAGATCAGATAATCTCGTTAGGAAAAGCCCAGTAATCTTTAATTTTGAATGCACAGCTGTGATGTGGATGGCGAGAGAGACCACCAGGTGGGGAGAGGACTGCGGCAGCTTTTAATGACAGTGGGAAAGCAGCAGAGGGACAGCAGCAATGACAACAGAAAGCAGCTGGTAAAGCACAGCAAACCACTTCAGCCCCCCCGGGTCGCCAGCCCAGCCGAGGGCTGTGACTGTACATGCCATCTGTAAGTCAACTGAAGTAAAACTCATTAGGAACTCAGAAAGAAAGCCACGTGTAAAGGCCCTGAATTACATCCCGAACAATCCAGGCAGGCCGGCGTTCCTCTGAGCACCTTGGGATGCACTTAACCTTCCTTCTCACACAGACAGTGCGGTGGAATTTCAGAGCTTTGGTTTACACGATGTTGGAAACTGCCAGCAGGCTAAATTTTGCCTTCTATCGGTCCTTCCTGCCCGTAATCGTGGGGCATCTTGTTAAGAGTCAGCAATGAGCTGCCGCTGGTCAGAGACTCGGTAAAGCTGAGTTTGCGGAAGGACGTCTCCACGCCGCTGTCACAGATGCTGTCGTCCCGGAGCTCGTCTGGGGGGAGAAAGCATGGACTCAGTGAGGGGCGCGCTGGGAACCAGGCCGCCCTCGGCCCCTGTGCCCCGCCGTCCCCGCTGGGCTCAGCGTGTGCATCCGGAGGGCTCGCGGCCACTTCTGCCGATTAGCCTCCGCCAGCAACCACACCCCACCTACGCCGCCCGGCTTGTCTCTGGTGTTCGCGGTGGGATGCAGGCAGAAAACACCGAGTAATGTAAAATGTGTGAAAACAGCAAAATCAGCCAAGTGTTTTCACCTCTTTCTTGAAATCTAGCCTCGTGTTTATCAGAATCCTTTCTGAATTCTCTTGACTCAAAGTGTACCTTTTTTTCTTAGAAATTAGATGTATTTTTCCACCCACTATATTACCTATCTTATAGCTGGGGAAATTGCTGAACATAGGCAAAACAAACTGGTGACAGAAGTAGGAACTAAAAATGAGATCTCCTTCTGGGCCTCATAGGCTTATTAAACTATACACTGCCTCAAAAACATTTTGGGAGTGAAAAAATAATTTTGATGACAGTGAGTCTATACTGGACAATTAGGTCAAATTCTTCTAGTTGAAAAGTGTCTTTAGGAATCGGAACAGCATGAATTATCTCCTACAGGGACAGTGTGTCCAAGGAAACAGAAGTCTAACATACACAAATCAAATGTTATCTTCCTGTATACTGAATTCTAATGTTAAAATATTAAGACTGACTGACCAACCAGTCTTTACTGGGTTTCTGTTATGGGCTAGGAACTGTGAGGTATTTTAAAAATAACTACAAGTCAAGGGCTTTGTGCTTCTTAAAATACAAGTATTTACCTGTTTCTGTGGAAGGGGCATCAGGTCGAGATGGGAGATGTGGGTGGCTTTCCTGGTGGAAATACTAACCCTTTCTCAAGTGTGTACAACACCTACCCTACCCGCTAGGAAGGCCCACCAGAGGCGACACTGGTGCTGAACCTGCGTGGCAGGAAGGAGCCAGCCAGGTAAGGCTCTTCGCAGGGAAGGGGAGGAGAAAGGGCCACAGGCCCTGAGCCTGGATCGGATGAGTGAGCGGGGGTGGGTGGGGGAGCTGCGGGGCCGGCGAATGAACGCGATGTGTGAAAGGGGAAGGATGGGCCGCTGTGCTGGTCGCTCACCGCCCACCTCACTGCCTCAAAACAGTGCTGGGCCTGCAGGAGGCGCTCAGTAGAGATCTGCTGAATGGACGAATGAACTGGAGGGTATATAACAGGTGTGACACCATTTTTGAAAAGAATCACACTAACTTGTGTAGAGAATGGACTGAAGATGGGTGGACAGAAACAGGGTGATGGATTGGGAGCTGCTGCGGGAATTGAGGCAAGAAAGGAAGGGTGGCTGGACAAGGATGGTGGTCGGGAGAGGAGGAAGCCTTCTGGGCGGGCTGGATGCGCGATGCTCGGGACCAGCACGTGTTCACAGGCAGGCCTAACCTCCTGGAGGGCGGCAGTGCTTTAGGCTGGCGTGGCCAGCGCCGAGTCTGGGTGAGGGGTATCAAGTGTCCTGAGTAGGTAAGGACAGGCAAGGAGGGCCCAGGACAGGGCCCTGGAGGCTGCGTCCGTAAAAGGTGAGTGTGGAGGCGGCAGTGAGAGGAGTGTGCTGTGGAAAAGCCAAGAGGGGACGTCTGAAGCAGGAGGGAGTGGCTGCCTGTGAAACGTGCTGGGAGTGTCTGAGAAGACAAGAAGGATGGGGACCAGATGGGAGCAGATGCTGGTCATTGCAAGGAAAAGGGCCCTGGTGCTGTGGAGGGGATGGAGCCCGACTGCAGGGGATGAGGAGAGGAGCGAAGTGCTGGAAATCACTCTACAGAAGTCTCCTGGGAAGCCTGGCCATGGAGAAGAACAGAGAGACTGGGCTGTAGCTAAAAGGTGTGAGAGGTCAAGGAAATGCCTTTTTCCTATGTGTTTGCTTTATTTTGAAAAGATGAGGAAATGATAGCCTGCTTGTAAGGGGATCCAGTCGGGAGGGAGAAACAGCTAATGCACGAGAGAGAGAAACAAGAATTAGAGGAGAGGGCTGGACGGGTGAGAGGGTGCCCTGCCTTTGCGGCTCAGACCCTGAATCCACAGGGCCCAGGTGGCAGGTGGGTGAGCTGGGCACAGGCGTAGGTGGGTGGTGCTCTGATGGCACGAGATAAGAGGATGCTACATGTTCCTATGTCCCCAGTGGACTGAGGCCAGGACACTGGGTGAGTAAGGAGAGGGAAGGGGTGCTGGCAGTTCAGAAAGAGAAAGCCCGAGATGGTTGCTTAGAGAGTTGAGAATACATTTAAAGGGACGTAAAGGATTACCGTGTTGAGAGTTCATTCTGTTACGTGTTTCAGGTGGGATGACAGGTCAGCGTTATGAACATGGGTGGGGGGTGGGCGTGGTGGGAAACATCACAGCAGCAGTCCACAGTCTGGGGCGCCAGTCTTTGTTCTATAAACATCTCTCTCTTTGTAAATTTAAGAAATGAGAGAAATAATTCTACCTTCACCACCCACATCATGTTTTTAGTATTTCTTGTGAACTTAAGTAACTTGTGTGTCACCGTGACTGTTCCTGGGAACAGCCCTCACCTGAATGGTCGTGTCGGGAGGGGAAGATGGTGGAACCCGGGACCTGACGGACACAGCAGACAGCATGGTCAGGAGAGAAAGGTGAAGGGGCCACACCACCCGCCCCGGGGACTGGAGGCCCCAGCCTGGGGGAGCAGGAAGGTGTCTTTTTGTCTTTACCTATTTGCCTTGTGGAGATAGGCGAGAAGGGCAGCGAGGGGGCCTGGGGGGCGGTCTTCACCGGGCCAGGGGCTGCAGTCCCCGAGGTGCAGAAGGCCGCCTGGATCACTTCAATCGCTTCCGTGTAGCCCATCTGTCTCAGGGCCTCCACCAGCTCTCTTACTGTCCCCCCAGAGACCTGCGAGAAAGCAGCGAAGAAAGAGTATGTCCTGGTGCTCAAACCTGGGCCAGGACAGCCCGGGAGGCTGTGAGCACGACCCCGCGCCCCTCCCGTCTCCCCCGCGGGGACGGCCACGGGCCCTGGAATCAGGTTTCCTGCTTCAGCTCAAAGACCACTCAGGAAATCACAGAGAAGCAGTTCATAGTAAGCACACCGAGAGAGAAAGAGAAAGCGCTGAGCCAGCGCAACCCCACCTAGAGTGAGGTTCAGGCCGTGTCCTGTTTAAGCTGATGCTCTAAACCTCAGTAAGAAACGAGCTAATGAAATTTCCAAAGAAAGTAATTTCACCTTGTTTTTCTACCTTTTCATTTTAGAAATTAAAGTATCACCAGGTAGTGGCTCTGCTAGGAGTCTCATAGCCAACTGGTCCCACGTCCTGACACATGACCAAGGCATGTCTCGGGGAGAGGAAGGCATGAATGCTGAGGACAGACTGTCATCTTTGTTTAGGGAGATCGAAGTTCTGCAACCATCCTGACCCTCTAAGTGGCATTTCTGCAGGAAATCTCAAGGTATCTGAAAACAGGGAATATCTCAGAGTGTCTGAAAACAGCCTTCTTAGGAAGGTGGGTTTCCTCTGGGCATTGGGTCACCCTCCCAGGACATGGGTAATGGCTGATATTCTTAGAATTAAGGGAGATGGAAGGGGATTATGCCCGGGCCAGTGATGTTAACAGAGCAAAGTTGGATAAACACAGCCAGTGATGTAAGGTGACAGGTTACCTCGTAGTTGTCCATAAGGGTTTTGGAAGGAGTAGGACTCAGCCGAAAGGCATTATTTAGTATCCCCAGACCTAGCTTCTGTGCCAGAGTAGCCCAGTTTTTGTCTGGATCAGGAATTTCTAGCAACTTGTAGAGCTTCAACTTGACATCCTCAGTCAGCTGTTTCATGTCTCCTGAAGGAAATGAAGAAGAAACACGACTGTCCTAACTGACCAGAGACACTCTGGAGGGACTGCTCCCCCTCCCACCCTGTGGAAGCAGTCAAGCGCCTTCACGTGAAAAGCCGGCAGGAGCCCAGGTGAGTAACAGCAGCCCACACTGTCACGGATGAGGACTGGGGCCTTCTCTGTGGCGCACCTCCAGGGCCTCCCGATTCTGAAAGCAGCCCCTGGGCCTTTTACAGAACACCCTGGATAATGCCGGTTCACCCTCATGCCCTTTAAATGACGAGGTGGGATGACACGGGTTCAGAGAACAGGGTTCTCCCAACTCACCTTGTGCCAGTAAGTCATCAGATGTAAACTCTGACTCATAGGGTTTCCCATTTAATATGTCAAATACCTGTTGAAGAGAAACGTGGGGAAATGTACATTAAAGGGACCATGAGGGAAATCTGCTTCTTTGTAATGAAGAACTCAGCACGTCCTCCTCAGGGGCTAACGCCCCCAGAACGGAGCGGGCGGAGTCAGTACCGCCGCCTGGGAGCACGCGTGCCCCGGGGGGGGGGGGTGGTCCGGGGCCGGGAGGCTGCGCCATGAGCTGTCTGAGGCAGGCAGGACGACCCAACGGACCTCGCAGCCAGCCAGGGCCACGGCCCTTCTTGAGGGCCAGAGGCAGCCAGGCCACCCATCAGCCCCGTGTCGGGCAGAGTCGATGGTAAGTGACGTTCCCCTGCGAGCGAGGGCGAGGGCGAGGGCTGAGCTCGGCAGAGCTGTGGGGCTGTGTGCCCCGCAGCCCCTCCGCCCCAGTAAAAGGCTCCTGAGAGTGGGTTTATAAACTCGCTCACACCGAGGTGTACACGTGCTCACAGGCTTGGTGTTAGCCTTCTGGCACCACCTACATTTCACTGAGAGGCCAGAGAAGTATTAGGTTGAAAGGAAAAAAATGTCATCGCTACGGAGGCCTCTCTGTTCTCTGCAGTCACTTCGCTGCCGGCTAACCCGGGTGAGGACGACACGGGGTCACTGAAGTGGGTTATCTTTCTGTGTTCTGTGGTGAGGCTTCTGGGAAAACCAGGCGCTCAATGTAAAGACAGAACTGTGTGGTCTCTCGGCCAGGGTCACTCAGCCCAACCCACACGTCCCGCGGGGAGGCGAACGAGCAGCTTTTGGACGGGGAGCGGCGCCTGCCCCTGAGGAAGTCCATTTTGCTGGGCTGGAGATGTGTGTGCTGCCCGGCTCCTCCCCCTGGGCCCTAAAGCCCAAATGACTGCTTCCACCTTCAGCTCTCAGGTCGGTGGGCTGCTGAGGAAGCTTTAAGTCTGTTTACTCTGTTTATATTCATAAATCCTCAGAAGAATCCCCGTTTCTTTTTATGTTCAGAAATCACTTCAAAGTTCAAGCAAACCATAACATGTATCCTAGCATCAGAAACCGAGAGGGGGATGATTCTGCTGTGAGGTGGGCATGGATAGCGCGTAACGTGAATTTAGTGTTTCTAACCCTCTCTCACTACTGAACTCTGATCTGATTAGGCAGACACTTTTACACTCAGAACCCTGTTGACCTAGATCTTTCATGGATAGGCTTTTCAAGATAAATACGGCTCCTGACAAGCAGACTTTCTTAGAAAATAAAGGCGTGTGTTTGGGGAGTAAAGACCCCAGAAGACCACCTGCTCTTACACCCCTGGACCTTGAGCCACCTCAGGAGCAGCTGGCAGACAGACCAGAGCCAGGCTCACCTGCCAGCTGGTAGCCATGTCTAGAGGTGTGGTTCCAGGCACGACTCCTTCATCCTCTCCGTCCTCATCCCAAGAGTCATCCAGGTCATACAGAGGCTCAAAGTTCTCCACCAGGGGATCTGCTCCTGCCGAGTCAAGTTACACACCATTAGGTAAACCCACATCTTGTCAACTTCCAACTGCCTGCAGGGGTCAGATTCTACAAATATATAAAACAAGCTTATTTATTTCTACTGAAATATTTAGAAACCTGCTTTTAAATTCTAATTTATTTTGACTGTAAGGTAACTGATGATACCCCATATAGCCAAGGACACTTTCAAAAACAAGACTTGGAATACGCTGACTCTCACATTGAACTCTCCAGGGTAGTTTTCATCTGAATGACGCATCTTTAATCTGAGAGCTAATGACAGAGGTCTACAGGACCTAGGGTGCACCCTCAGAATTAAGGTCCTAAAAGTTCAGCTTTATGCCCAGCACTGCATGCTTCTCAGCCCCTTCTCCTGCTTGCTCAAAAGAGCAAAGCCATTTGCTTTCTAGTGCCAACCTGTTGTGTTTCATGTCTGGGTACAGCACTGACCCTCAAACGTAAAACACCAAACAACCCTTCTGCTAGGAAGCATGGTTACTGATAAAGTTAGGGCTGATCTTGGAAAATATAGTCTGTGCCTTAGCCAGCAGCAAGTAAGTCAAAGACTAGAGCTAGAGTTACTTCTCAAAGGCTTGGAGACTGTTCACGAGAGAATGTTTAGCTTGCTGCCTAATGGACAGCAGGAAGTTTAGCACATCCTCCCTTTAGGAAGAACCAAATTATTTTAATCTGGCTCGGAGAATGTCTGACTTGTCCCACTGTCAGTAACAGGGAGTGCCTGATGAGAGGGTCTTCATGCCATTTCTTACTCCATCCTTTTAGGCCAAGCCTGGTCTACGAGGCAGTAAGTACCGCCTGACCATGGAAACTGCAGAAACTAAGATGAACAATTTGCAGGACCAAAGATAGAAGAGTTGAACCGTTCCTTAAGTGACCTTCCGAGCTCGGGACTAGGTTTTCCTTCTGAGCTTCCTCTTTTATATACTGGAGAAACTGCTACGTGCTATTTCCTTCCACGGGACACTGAGAATTAGAAAGCGTTTCTGAAAGGGTGACAGCTTCTTGTCTGAAGGTATTCCTTAATTATAACCAGTGACTCCCGAAACTGTTCATACACACTGCAATCACTGTCTCTTGTTCACAAGAACGTTCAACTTGACAAAGGAGAAAAGAAACGCCTGCTGCTTATTTGGCATATGATTTACTTGTCAGAAAAATGTGGTCCCACCAAAGAAAAGGTTCTTATATTTTTCTGAACTGTTTAAAAAGGTATTTAATCTGCTCTACTTTCTTGAATCTGTGAAGCATTTATTTTCTAAGAAAATTTTAAGAACCTCTAAAGTCAATCAGATATGCCAAGGTAGCCTTGAGATATCAATTTCATTAAACAGTGTTTGAGGTTTTAAATATACAAGGCAGTAGAGATTCAAGGATGAGCAGGATTAATTTTCCTATACTTCACAGGACTAGAGGATTGCATTGGAATACTTGCAAATCCTTGAGCCAAGCAGGGGAGAGAAACACAACAGAGAGAAAAGTCTGGAAGTTCAGGCTGACACGGTATGATTCACAGCTCTGCCCCTTACTGGAGCCCTGGGACTAAGATGCAAAGGTCTCTCTAGTCTGTTTCCTTGCTATAAAATGGGAATAAAAATGGGACTTGTCTCAAAGGGTTACTGTGGATTAAGTAAGATCAAATGAGACAGTGCATGTGAAGTGCCCAGTGCAACGGGAGCTAGCAATTTTTAGTGTCTGGCACATGACAGTACTCAACCCACGGCCCGTTTGTTTTTCCCTAGTACTTTGGTTTCTCAGACTTCTTGCAAAAGGAAGTTTAAACTATTTCTTATACCAATAAACTTTTCCTTCTGAGGCCTTGTGATGTGATCTGAGGCTGATACTGCTCTGAATTCTACAAGGAGTTAAATTTAACATTAAGAAGATCTCTTTGTCATGGGAGTCAGCCCAAATCCAAAACAAACAGGTGAACTGGAGAGTAAAAACTAACATGACTGTCAGCATAAAGCCCAGGATTATCAGTCCAAACAGTGCCTTTACGGCAATTAAACGTGACTTGCCAGAGAGCTCTTATTTACTGTGCCTTTCCGCAGCAGGCCTGTGACTTAAAGAAGGTGGCATGGCTGCTCTACTGAGGCTGGGTGTGCATTCTGGATGACATTTTCCACCACTGACCACCGGGGTGCCTTACCTGCTGCTTTGAGGAGAGCTGCCAGCCTGGTGGACCCTCTCCCGGCTGCTATGTGCAGCGGTGTGCTTCCATCATAGGTGGTGCTGTCTACGTGGGCATCACCCTGAAATCCAGCCCAGACAGAAAAGGGTTAGTCCCAGGTGCTCTCACCCTTTTGTCCCCACCTCCCCCCGTCTGCATGGGGTCATATTACCAGCCCAGTTGCTATTTTGGGCAGGCTCTGCCATTGAAGAAAGTCAGCTAGAGATACCGGGCAAGGGATGCGGGGAAAGCCTGAGCTGCCACTCTGAAGCCTTGCTTAGATATGACACAGTCAGTCAGGAGACAGGCCGTTCCTGACATCATTCTTTGAAAAGATTTTCCCAATTCGCCCTCGGGAATTTAATGCAAAGGCACATAAGTGCATCCCTCACCTCCAGGAGCAGGCAGCCAGCCAAGGAGATGTTGTCCTGCTCCACGGCCAGGTGCAGCGCCGTGCGCCCCGACTTCCGCTCCTGGGCGTTGACGTCCGCCCCGGCGGCCAGCAGCAGCAGCAGACATGGCAAGCTGTTGCTCATCATGGCTATGTGAATGGCGTTCAGACCTGCGGCCCAAGCACAAGGATGGTCACAGGGCAGGAAGGCTGCTCCAGGATGGCCCTCCAAGAAGCTAAAGTAAATGACAAAACTGGACCACAGGGAAGGAAGGCTGTGGGGGATCAATGTGTCTGCGGCTGACAGTCTCCACTCCAGACATCTTCACGGGCACTGTACGTCAACTGTTGTGTGTGCGAACCCACACACTCCTGTTACGTTCTCAGGAGACCCTGAGAGCAACATTCTCCGAATAAACGATGCCTTCTATGTGTCAAGACCGTGTCTGCTCAGGCCTCTGCTTTTTCCTCCTCCTAACTATTCCAAATCATCTTTAAAGGACTTAGCTACAGCAAGCAACAGAGATCTCCACAAGGGATGATGAATTCCAGATGATTAAGGAAGGCACTTTGGGGTGCAAATCAAATAACACACATTTAGCAAACAGCTACTAACTGTTTAGAAAGCAGATAGAGGAGGTTCTACCACGACGTGGGGTTGTCACTTACCTTCCCCGTTGGGGTGGTCGATAAGTAGTGCTGCCTTTTTGTGCTTGAGTAAAATACTGAGAATTTTATCGTGTCCTTCTTTGGCAGCTAGGTGCAAAACAGAGTTACCCAAGCGGTCCAGAAGGCTCAGGTCGGCCCCGGCCCTCAGCAAGTCCTCCACCACAGCCTCCTGCTTGGTGATCACTGCCAAGTGCAAGGGCGTCTGGGGAGTGAAGAAGGGGCAGGAGATGACACTGGTCAGCAGCACAACAGACACAAACACCGGCTTATTAGCTGTCACTGCAATAGGTAGAATCATACTGAGGGGCCATTTCTCAGTCCCAGATTAACTTCTCCCTTTGCAAATGAACTACTCTCTGTTCCATAGCACATGCTAATGAAGTACACACACTGGACTAACAGTCATTCAATTATCAAGATCATTTTTATATTTACAATTCTTAATAGCTTTCCTATTTCTCACTACAGCCCACTAACTGCTGATATGTTAACCCATCTATTATAGTAAATTTAGTTTTCTTGAATTTCTAGTAGGAATCTACCGTCAGCTGATAAATCCATATGCTAACAAAGCAAATTTACTAAAGATGCTTCAATGAACTACCCAATAGAGACCAATTAACAAAGGTGCTGTCAGTCTACACTGACATGGAAGAAATCTGCTAAATTAAAAAATACCGTTTCCATGGACCGACTCCACGAGACCAATCAAGAGAACCCTCCCACTCCCCTTTTATGAAAGGATTCTCAAAGTCGTAACCAGGACAAGAGAACCAGCTCACAAAGAGGGCTCAGACGGACAAACTCGCTTAGCTGCTGACACCTAACAGGTATGTAAATAGTCCATGTGATTACCCTGCCCAAGCAGTAGTGCTCCAGCAAACGCAAATGAGATGTTTTGAAAACTGCGTGTTTTCAAAATGAGTAAGACAAACACAGTCATGAAAGTATCTTTCAAAGAACTGAGGTCGTTGACAGAGAACAGCAATATATTTTTATACAAATCAGTCTAACGGCATGTGAGAACAGGATGAAAGATGCTCGGGCCGTCTACGTGTCATTACAATGGTTATTCAATATAACAAGACAGGATTTTTTGGTTTCTTTTAATACCAAATTTCCACTCTTGCCCTTATTTCTTTCATCCTTTAGAATTATACCCTGGCTTGAAATGAACCATGTCCTTAGAACTTTAGATACTGTAGCCAAGTGCCTTCCTCTCAAAAAATAAGTAAATAAATGCTATGTTTATTAATCAGATATGTTATTTGGGGAGATGGGAAAAAGAAAGAGTAAGATTGGAAAAAAGATCTGAAATTATACCAGAGATTAGCTGTCTATAGTTTTCATATAATTTCTTTCATATCATACAAAATCTCACCATGAGTAAAAAAGTTTTCTTTTTTTTAAAGTTTTTTCCCTTCTGGTCTCACTGTAGGTTTTTTTTATGCTATTTCAGACTAGAGCTTAAACCTCAGGGTTATATCTTACTCAGTTACACAAGGAATCCAGGAACTTTTAATGCTATGCCTCTTGGCATGCTGACTTATGCGGACATTCTGCAGAGCCAAGTATACAAATGCCCCAGCAACCCAACTCCTGCCTACATATCTGAGTGGAACAAATCCACAAGGGCACATGGGTGAGACTCTTCACTGAAGTTCTGTCTGTGGAGCTGGGAAGCAAGACGCTGGTTAAATGTCTGTTGTTGGGGAACAGGTACATAAAAAGTGGAAGATGTACACTATGGGATCCTCTTCAGGAGTAAAACAGTGAACTAGCTGTACACACAAGTGCATGGATAAATCCCACAAACAGCAAAGGCAGACACAATGACATGTAGCACAAAGCTACTTATGCATTTTAAAAATACTTACAGGAAAAACTAGACAGAGACACACAACTGAGTGCACGTAAAACTGACGACCCCTCCCCTCTCAAGATCTGTGGATTGTATCAATGTCAGTTTCCTGGTTTTGATACTGGACCATAGTTATGCAACATGTTACCACTGGGGGAAACTGGGTGAAGGGTACATGCAGACCTCCTGGTACATTTTTTGGTAACCACCTATGAATCTAGAATTAAATTAAACATTTAAGAAAAAGGTTTATACAGAGCAGGAGTATAATGTACATTGTGTGTGAGAATATATGAAAACATCTGTCTTATTTAAAGGATACATATTTATGTAGCCAATACCTGGGAAAATATTTATTATAAACGTAATAATTATACTGGGGAGTAAAGCTGGGAAACTTGTATACTTCCAGGGAGGGTAACCTTGATTCTCTAATGTATTATCCATATGTACCATTCTAAAAACCAGGAATATATATTTATAGTAATTAAAAAGAAAAAAATTATATACACAAAACCCCATTGACGTTTAACAGGAACATACGCAAATAAACCAATTGATGTCAAACACAATGAAGTGCTCATGTTGCGGGAGGAGGGTGGGGAGGAGAATAGGGTTTAAAGGGAATAGAGTTCAGAAATATTTTCAGAAAAATCTTAACTCTATGCACTTGGATTATTTTGAGTGTGTCTTTCTCTAGAAGGTGGGTGGGGAGAGAGATCTGATCATGACAGATGGCCACAGAAATGTACTAAGATTAGTAAAAGGTATTTTGGGAGACTGTTTAAGACAATTGCCAAATAATCCAAAACTGTATAATTTCCCATAAGAATAGCTAACAGAGAACCTTAACAACATATAAATGAAAGTTTAAAATCTTAGTGGGTTTCTAGTTCTCAGATAAAAGTTGCCATTGGGTGTGTGTTTGAGACTGAGAAGGCAAACCAGGAGATCCAGATCCTTGCCCGTTAATGAGAACAGTGGTAGGTGAGGAAAATGCAGCTGTATTTGCCTGAGAGTCCCCAAATCAGAAGGCACAGAGATGTCAAAGGTTTTTGTCTCCAGCACACTGGAGAGTCTCAAAACATGTAACTGAACGATACAGCACAGAGTTTAGCACATAATAAATCACAACTACTGACCCTGGTGTGCAGTGTGCTTCGCAGGTCCTATTTATAAACCGAAAAACAAGCAATTCCTTGAATCTGACCTACAGGCAGTGAAGGTAAGCAGTCTTCGGAAGGAGGATGGAGAAGGGAAGATGTTCCATTTCTAATCTTATCTGTACACTTGTGACAGTGAAAAGGCACAGTCGGTCCAGAAGCCTGAGAGAATCAAGCTTCAGGGGCCAAACAACTTTCCAAATACCAGCAACACCCAAAATGGTATGAAAATTTGAAGAAGCTATCCTTTAAATATAAATCTAAAATTAGACCTCATCCTAGTTATTTTATGAGTCAGCGAAGAATCCCCGACTTCATCTTTCCTTTGATCTTAAGCATGACAAGCCAGAGATGAAGCCTCATGCCTAACATCCCATGGGAAATCGCTGCTTTCCCTTACCAGGAAAACACCTGTCACAGATAAAAATCTGTTGAGACGTAGCTACATGTAAACGTAAACATTTTGGTACTTTTGCTTTGAGGAAATAAAAATGATTCACGTCACTTAATTTAAAATTTGAGAACTGGAACAGGTACAGTTACTGTGTAAATAACCGTACATGATGGTTTTCCATATTTTTAGAGTAAGAGATATGCTTGAATTGGGCATCCAAGCATACCATCGAGAACCAGGAGGACTGGGAAATCACTTTGGGTCTTGGGAAGGGAATGAGAAAACAGGAAAGCAGCTGAGAAGGGGGCAAGGGCAGGAGACGCTACAGAAGACTGATGGGGCTGAGGAAAGGCAGTAGGAAGGGAAAGTGCCCAGGGGAGGGAGGATGGAGCAGGGGAACCTACCTGCCTCCTGCCCCCCTGTGAGTGGCTGGCCCCGGTCTGCGGGCTCCCGACACCCAGCATGCAGACTTTGGTTTTGTCCAATAGTTTTAATTTCCCCTCCCCACCTGCAGTCTGCATGTGCCCAGTAGGCAGCCTCACTGAATCTCCAGTTAACCTCTCTCTCAATTACCTGAGGACCTCTGTAATAGAAGTTCCTCAATTAGCTTTGAGTCAACCTCATTTCTATGTAAACCTGACCTGGGCAAAACTCTTTGGTGATGCCTGTTTTCCTCATCTTGAGCTTTCTGTTTCTGAAAGACACTTTTTCCTTCTCAAGCAACCTTTTTACCTTTCTGCATTCTGATTTTAGCACCCTCATTTGATATGCATTTAACCTAGATGCTGCCAACACCTCTCAGCAGACTTCAAACTTCTTGTAAATTACTGGCCTCTAATACTTAACTTTTTTTCCAATTTTATTTTTTCTTGACAGATGTGACATACTTACTCTAGGCTGACTGACTGCTGTGGTAGATTTCTGAAGTTTAAAGTTTGCCTTCCGCAGCAGGATGCTGAATTTCACTGTGGGGCAATCGCTATTACACCCACAGATCAAAGGATCCTAATTCACAAAAAAACATTCCTATATAATGGGCTTTTGGGATATTACCTGCAAAGATATTTTGTTTTATTTTTGCTACTGTTAACATTATATGCTACTACTAATACACACTCTCACACACATGCATGTACAAACTATGGATTTTTCTTCAGTTGTCCCCTTGACATTTCTGCTTACCTGATAGAGGTCATTTCTCATGTTGATTATCTCATCAGAAATCAAGCCAGATGTGACTTCTAGCAGATCTCTCACAAGCTGAGCATGAAGGTTGATGATTGCTAAGTGTAAGACACTGGAATGAAAATATGGTGGCAATAATCAATTAAAGTGTTACTGGAAGGAAGAAAAAGATTCCCAAGATAGGATGAGACTTGCAGACTGAGTCTGGCACTCGTACCTAGTTTTCCCTGGCCTCCAGGTGTGTTTTGTCTATGAGATGTCCTGAATCTGATGTGGGGATGCTCTGCTGCCTACCCATTTATAGTGCCTGCCTGGTCTCTGGGGGGCATTCAGGTCGGAACCTTTGAGGTGTAAAGGAACCTGGGCTTCAAGGCAGAGAGACCTAAGTTCAAATCCCAGCTCTGCCTTTGTGCTTTGGTTTCCGGGCATTTTCTCCTCTAACTTTTCCCTGACTTTCCCTGACACACAGATGAGGTATATAAAATGCCTGAATTAGGATCTGTTCAGAAACATGCAGTTACCTCACCTGGCCCTGCCACCTTCTCCAAAATACAGTATGGTGGCTTTTTAAGATCTTCCTAGGTCCCAAGAGGGGAGAATGGAGTCAAGCTCTTAACTATGGGGAGAAGACTCTTGACACAAACTTCTGAAGGAACAGTGGGATTGTACTTCTCCCCTAAATTATTCCCTCTGCCTGGAATGGTTTTGCTCCTCTTCTCTGCCTAGACAATGCCCTTCCATCCTTCATATTCCAGTCCAAACCTTATATCCTTGGAGAAGACTTTCTCAACTTCCCAGGCAGAGCAGCTGTCTCCCCTCAAGTTTACTGCGGAGCGAGAACTGCAGTTTCCTATGCCTCTTCCTCCCTCTCGGGACCTTGTTGGACGCTGGTTCTCACTGGGTCAGCCTTCTAGCCCTGGCACATAGTTTAGGCACTAAAATAAGGCTGAAAGAACAACCCTAGGGCTTACACTAATGAGGCTGAAAATACTGGCAGATGCCAAGCATCACTCCTAGGAACAAATTTTTTTAATTCTTAAAAAAACTTGCTATTAAAATTAATTTGAAATGACTCAACAACAATAAATGTGGCTACTATCTGTCTAGAGCTTCTGTTTACCAAACTACACTAAGCACTGGATATACATTATCTTATTTATCCTAAGAATGATCTTATGAGGTAGGAAATATTATCTTCATTTTTCAGGTGATGAAACTGAGACTTATAGGTAAAACAGAACTCAGTCCAGGCCTCATATTAAGCCCGGGTCTGTCTTGCTCCAAAGCCACGTCTTAATCCCTTAAGCCATCCTGCTTCAGGGGTACATGTGCACTGCTCCGTGGAGTTTTAGATGAACATCTGGGAGGGTGACTCCTCCCAGGTATGGCCAGATTACGACGCAGAGCACACTTGAAAGTATCACATGGAGCCAGTACGTATGGGCCTGGAGGCACAGGCTGGGCTTCCTCTGGACATATCAGATGTCGTTTTGTTCAGGCCACTGTCTTAGTCACGGCAAGTACGTGTAACTTGGGATTAACACTGGCACAGGAGGGCCTGAAAGCCAAACTGTGACTTCATTCTTTGAGAGATATTTTTAAATGAATGATTCCAGGGTTCCAGTGCTGTCTTTTGAAACGTAGGACTAGAAGACGACTTCTGAAGTCTGATGCAGACATGATGCACATATACCAAGAAAAAGGTCGTACTCTAAAAACTGCCTAAAAATTTCCATGTGCAGCTCAGCATTTCATAGCAGAAGTACATCCCCCTCCCCCATAAGCTTTCACACCCTCATGGGAATTTCCCCAGTACCAGAAGTTTTCATTATTTTTTTCTTTATTGTATTTTCTGTGATGACTAATGGCCACAGGATTCAGACTATTAGCCGAATAGGACAAGCTCAGTGAAAAGAAGAGGACTCAGCCCTGAGGGCCAAAAGCCATCCCTTGTCTCCAGTCTTACGAGGCCCCTTCTTTGGTCTGTGCGCCTGCTTGCGTGAGTACGTCTGGGGTCCTGGGAGGGGACTGTAAGGATTCATCTTCTGCTCGGGCAGGGAAGGCACCACCTCCGCCTTCCCGTGTACACCAAGTCCTCACACACGTCTGTACCTTGCCCTCAATGCACCGCTCCCGTATCCCTTTCCAGAGTCCGCCCTTCAAGCACCAACAGTCCCTTTCTAACGTGCATGTGACTTGTCTGTCTTAGACTCACCAGTTCAGCAGGTCCCTAAAAATGTCACCTGAAATGCTACTGTGCTGCCTGGGCTAACTGCTTTCTCTTGTGGTTATGTGCTATTGAACGCTAACTGGATTATTTAACCCTGTAAAAACATTCTGCTGCTCACGACATTACACAAAGAAGGCTGTGCCGGTTCCTCTCATACTGTATAACAAGGCCAGTGGTTACACCACATCCTTGGTTACGCTGCAAGGAATGAGAACAAAGGTCTCTGTTTGAAACCCCGAGGCTGGCACTTTCCTAAAGCGTTTGGTTCAGTGTTCAAACTGAGGTTTAAAACCCGGCACCCAGGAGCTCTTCCACAGAGGAGGATTTCTCATTGTTGACACTATCTTGGGAAGGTTTTTAGATAAGGCACTTGAATTGGAGGGCTGCTGTCTCTCGTTATTTTTATAGGCTTTGAGATCATTTCAGAAGTCTCAATGAAAGGACTAGGAGAACTGTTTTAGAAAGAAGCCAGGTGGCTTTGCAGATGCAAGCTCAGTCACAGCAGGCCTGGGAAGCATGGTGCTCGGAATGTCGGGCTCCCACGCAGCGTGGGTTAGAGCAGTCACCGGCGTCTGACCCAGCCTCAGACCGGTGACCGCTGACGGGGCCAGCCGAGGAGGAGTCGGTACCTGGGCAGGAGTGACGGCTGCCTCTCACCACTGTGCTGCTGTTGCTGTGCTGTGTCTGTGGGCTGCTTCTTGAGAACGCTATCGTTACAAATATGCAGTTGGGGTAACAAGTGCTTTAGGGATTTGGCGAGGCCAAATGGTGTATGATTCCAATAAATAAAGCAAATATTATTAGCTCAATAAATAAATGTTTGTGTATTAAATATCCTTCTAAATCTTATTCCAACAAACAAAGCAAGGCTTTTAAAAAGTACCATTCCCTACACACATCTTCGTTTTCCTGCCCAGAGCACTGGACTCTTAGAAGAGCACCCCAGCTATTTAGAGCCCAGTAGGTGAGAGCCACAGGACAGCAGAAGCAAATCATGCCTCTCGACCTTACTGATACATTATTTCCCTGGAGAGAGTGTTTCAGTTGCAGGACCCAATAACTTTGATCAAGTTTTCTTGTCTCTAACTAGCATGCATTTAATTCTTTTCGCCTTTTGCTACTTGAAAACGCTTGTTTGCATAAGTCCCAACTCACCTGTCCCCATTCTCATCCTGTACGGCGGTGAGATGGCGCTGGACAGCCAGCAGCATCTTCACGTCTCCTGTCACTGCGTAGTCAAAAAGGGCATTGGCGTGCTGTTTGGCAAGCTGCATAGCCTTCTCTAGAAAGAGGTTGTCTGCAAGGCAACGGTCACAGTCACAGCTGAGTTTCCTTACTTGCTCTGCAGGGATGGCATGCTTGAGGCCAAGGCCATTAGCCTCAGGGTTCTGGTACCCTAAAGCGTATCATTTTAGTTGAAAATGCTCCTTTCCGTGCTTCACTAGAAAGAGCACAACTGGACACTGGCTCATCGACAAATATAGAGGCTGATCTCAAAACCTGTCTACAGTTTGTTTGGGGAAAAGAAATTCAGAAATGTCTTATTTTAGGGGGAACAATCAATCTGCAAACAATGTTAATTGGATGTTGCCATAATTGTAAATAACCGAGCTCTTGGTGAAAAAATCCTTTGCTGGAGTCCTGAACAACTTTCTTGTTCAACAAAAAGTGTCAAAAAAACAGTCTCTGCCACAGATAGACTCTCCACGAGCCACTGGTGTTTTTGTAAAGTCTGCTTCCTGAAGGCCAGTGGGAGGCAAGTTGTGGCTTACAGGCCAAATCCGGCGCGTGGCCTGTTTCCATACGGCCCCCTAGCTAAGCCCGGTTTGTACATTTTTAAAGCGGTGTTAGAAAAAAAGAACATGTGACAGAAACTATATGTGGCCCCCAAGTCTACACAGTTACTATCTTTCCCTTTAAGAAAAAAGCCTTCCAAGCACGATTTAGGGTGACCTAGACCACAATACATACTCTGATGGGTACTGGTTCCAGACACACACAAAAGTGCACTGTCCCTCCTAGTCCTAACTCTTCAAAGAAGGCATCACGATAAAAGGAAAAGTTCTGATTTTCAGGTGAAGTTCCACTTCAGTGTGATGGTCAAGCTACAGCCTAGAGTGGGAGACTGCTGACGTTACGAAAACTGCTATTATCTGTGGTAGAAAGGAGTGAGATTCTCTCATGATACGCCAACACTGCATGATTGTAACTGGAGAAGCACATGTGAATTTCTGTACTTTGTATTCAAAGATAACACTGGGAAAGTGGAAATCCCAGTGTGAACAAAATGACCTGGCACATGCTTTTCAAAAGGCATACGGGACTGAAAAGCACACTGAACCAGACACTGATTTATCATCTTTAGATCAACAGACAATAAACCTCTCTTCTGGAAACAGGTTCTCCACCCAGCACCAACCCATCCCCTCAGCAACCAGGCCAAGGCAGTACTCTGTGTGCTCACTCACCCGGGGACCTGTAATTCTCCTCCTTGACCCCCACCGCACACGTCAGATCAGCCTCCTCGTCCCCACTGCAGGACTCCTTATCTTCTTCTGTGGTTTCTCTTACTTTCCCAGAGAGACGTACAGCTTCTCTGTCATCACTCTTGTCACACCCTTTAGGGTCATTTTCAGATTGGGTGTCTATGGTTCCTAAGATAAAAACAAAAAAATCAGCTTTTTCCTCAGTAAAATCTATGAACTAAGCTATAATTCACTGTTTCCATGAAGGTCAGATAGACGTAGGAGGCACGTTTATTGCAAAGGGTAAAGAAAAGCAGCAATTTAAAATTCCTTTTGCAATGGTCGTAAGTAACGTGTTTTGGAACTATTTTAAAGCCATTTCCAAAAAGCTTTTTTTTTTTAATTGGGGTATAACTGACATAGAACATTGTGTTACTTCCAGGTGTACAATATGACTCGGTATTTGTATACAGTACAACATGATCACCACAATAAGTCTGTCATTAACATCCATCAGGATACATAGTTACAAATTCTTTTTTCTTGTGATAAGAAGTTTAAAGTCTTAAAAACATTTTTTTTCACATTTCTAAAAAATGTACATCTCACTCTGTTTATTTGTAAAGGAGAAAAATGAAATAAAAGCTCTTCTGGGAATTGCAGGGAAACAGAATTTTTAAAGTCCTGGAAAGCAGAGTAGTTACTTTTTCCCTAGTGCTCAAGTAAGCTGTACAGCTGTGATCTCAATTCCCGGTCTTCGGCAGAGGGCGGTCCAGTGCACCGCTGCTGCTCGTGCTCCTCCAGGCCCCACTGTGCTATCTGACAGCCCCTGTGAGAGCTCCGAGGCTTTCTGGGCAGACTTGGCTCAAATCCTGGTTCTGCCACTAACAGAGGTACCTCTGTGTGTGCACGATCATTTCTGAACCTTGGTGTGCTCTGTCTGTAAAATGGAGACACTAACACTTTCCTTAGAGAGGAATCCTGAACATGACAGCTAAAACATGTAAAAGCCCCTGCATAAAACAGGTGTTGAACACAGGAGAAGACTTTCCTTAGCATTTCTGCAATGGGTGAACACCAGACTGAACATGTAATATGAACTATGAACACATGATATGACAACTGCTAATTAGGGGATATATTTGATGAGAAAAGATCATCCCTATAAAATAACTCCAAATGTCTTCAGAAGTGTAGTATTTGAGAAAGAGAATGGGTAAGTTCGGTGATTTTATGTTTGAACAGTCAAGTTGCTATATGTCCCTTTTTAATGTTCTTTTCTTTCCCCTGTTCATGCCACTTACAAAATAAATAAATAAACATAAACATAGGATCAGGAATAGAATTTATACTCTCCAAAGGAAATAATAATTTTTTGGAAAAG